CCGGATCGCCCACTTGGATATCATCAATCGTAACTTCTTCGGTGGATGACAAAATCTTAGGCAGGAAAGCCATATGCTGATCCACAACTTTGGCATACAATTCACCACTCTCGTGAAAATACGTCGAGTCTTCAGGCTTAACCTTTACACTTCCTCCGGCTAGAATAAATTCGTCGTTGATAATCGTCGTGTCACTAGCTTGCTCTTGTTCTCGCAGATCACGATCCATATCGGCCAGATCGCGGTCGCTGATTGTCGGATCAGCCAGATCGCCGTCAGTGATTGTCGGATCTGCCAGATCGCGGTCATTAATTACTGGATCAGCCAGATCGTGGTCATTAATTACTGGATCGGCCAGATCGCGGTCATTAATTGCCGGATCAGCCAGATCGCGGTCATTAATTGCCGGATCGGCCATATCGCGGTCATTAGTTGTCGAATCACGCTCCATACATTCCTGTGTGCAGTTATTGTGAGTGTAATTCTCTTCACCCCACGGCCCTTGCGCGTGATCGACAATTGACGTCCCTCTGATCGCATTGATCACTCATGGAGATTTCGCTAGTTGTTTGCTTTCATCTTCGATCACCAAATCTTCCACATTGTTGTCACCGACTTCTCTTATTGCATCGCATTCATCATTGGATCGTGACGCGAGCTTCACCGGTCTCTTGGCCCCTTTTTCTGCTTCCTCCTTCAAACGTGTTAAGATCCTCTTCGGCGTAGGGTACGAAGGATGGTCCACTAGCGGTCCGGTAAATTCTTACGGTGGTTCTTCTTCCCGATCCGTTGTCGCTTCGAACGCTAATGTCTGCCATTCGTTATACCGACGCGATCCCACCGAGACATATCCTGGGGACCGAGGTATCATATCATCGACCATCCACCAACCTAATGGCGATCCATGACTTAAAAATTACTTCTTGATCGCCCATTTTGGTCAGTTGTCAGTACTTGATCTGACCAGGTCCCGTAGTCACTGTGGGCACCCATTTCGGATCTCGCCTCACCCAGATCTTGGCTTTAGGAGGACTAAATCCGATTTTCACTTCAGTCGATTTACCCACTGGGATCACCACATATTGATCTGGAATTGTGATTGCTTGTATGGTCGCCCGATAAGGAGGTCTTCGTCCATTCAGAAGTATCCTGACCTCATCAGGCAAACAAAGTGGTCCATCGGCTAAATCCAGGCGTATTCCAGCTGGTACCATGAAATCCATTCCGAGGATCGCGTCTTGACCTACTTGATCTCCTACCTAAGCATAAAAATAGTAGACTAGCGATCCATTCAGCGTAATCTTGATTCTTGTACGACCATCCGTCATGTATGTGTTCTCACCAATCCCAACACATTCTTGCCTCTGACTCTCGTCAATGACACATCCTACCTTACGAGCAAAGGTGGTGTCGACGATTGAGACTTCGGCTCCAGAATCAAACAACATAATCGCCTTTTCATTGTTGATCTTGCCCGTTGCCTTGGCTTGCTTGAACCATTTTCCTGGGGTATGATATTTCCAATATCCCCGTGATTCACCTGGTGCTAAGTCGAGCTCCATTTTCGCAGGCGATAGGGCATATTCATCAACTCTTACGACACTTGATATTGAACGCAGAAATTTTGAATTTTCACATGTATTATTCGGGTCGATCTGAGTGTTAACGCCCTGATCTGTCGATCTTCTTTCCACAAATGCATAAATGCAGAGCCTACAACGCTCGGATCGTACCAGATTACAACCTGGTGAGCGTCCTAGTTTAACATTTCTTCAGCCTTCGGCGGAAGCATTCCAGCATGCTTGGTTGGGACATACCACTTGCGTATCATGTTGTAGAATTCTTCCATTCGACATTTTCCACTCTCATGGACATCTCCGCAGGCAACACGGGTGTAGAAACATTTGTCTGGAGGATGTCCCTTACGACCACACTTTTGACACGTTAGTCTCTTCCAGCATCCACGATCATGGTGTTTCCTCGACCCACAATGGGTGATTCCCCATGCGATCTGGACCGCGATCTTGATCCAAATGGTCCGATCCCGCGCGTTGATCACTGAATTTCTTCACGCGATCCGGAACTGTAGCCACACATAGGTTGCGTCGATCTGTTTCGGCGTTGATCCACTAATATCCGAGTCTGACTCACTGCTACTGCCTTCCAGACGAATCGCTCTCACGGCACGAGTTTGTTTCGAGGGTGCCGGAGTGGAAGCCGACGCAGATCGCTGACGAAATTTGCTTGACCCCATTGCTCTCGGATACTGCCTTCCCTCCATGCGTTGATATGTTCGCAGAGTTTCTTCCATATCATCGGCATCTCCAAGGCGTAACAACGTCAACTGCTTAGCCAGATCGCGATCATCAAGTGTACCAATGAAATTCTCCACATGTTCTCGGCGACTTGAAGGCGACCCTTCCCGAATGGGAATTTTTGCTCGGATCGCGGCTACGTTCAGCCGATACAAATATTCCAATGGCGTTTCATCGGATCGCTTCTTCGCATGGTAATATTGTCTCCCGACAGACATACCATATCCACAATACTGGATCATGAAGGTTTCCAACAACGACTTCCAAGAATTCCGAGTGGATCGACTTAGCTGGCTGTCAGCGACTGTGCGTGTACGCCAGTCTATCCATGGTTGGTGTTTAGCCAACCAAGGCATGCCTAGGATGAGGTCATACGGACTCTCCATACCTAGCACTGTAAACTTCTCTTTACAAGAGAAGTCACTAAAGCTGAAGGTAAGTTTAACTTGAACTCCCTCCGATTTAACGAGCGTGCCGTTCGCTAAACGAACGATCGCCTCTTCTCGCTTGGCGTCCTGGCAAAGTGACTCATAACTCGCCAGACTTTTTCTGAGAGCCGCGAGTTTGACAAACTTCTGTGATGCACCCGAATCAACGAGAAGGGTCATCACTTGGTCATTCCTCGTACTCGAGCGCTATAGACTATAAGGGTTGAGGTCCGACCTTTCGGAACCTCAGGGACTATGCTACCCATTTGTTCGATCACTCTGAACATAGGGGTAGCTTCAGAGTCCGCGACAGTAGGGCATCCCGTCCCTATTGCGCTCCCGCATTTCCCGACTTATCGGGGGTCGAATCTGAACCCGTGCGAGGTTCACGGTTCTTCGAATCACCTTCGGTTTGGGAGACTTCTTGCTGGGCGCCTTGGCCCCAGCAGCAAGTTTGGGATAGCAGCGAGCCATCATTTGGCCGCGCTTGCCGCACTTGTAGCAGATTACGCCTGCATTGCCTAACTCCATTGGAGTGGCATCCGACTCTCGACCGGCGGCTAACAATAAGCTGTCGCCGAGGCACTGTTGTAGGATTGCTTCTCAATTAAGGCAATGTCAATTGCCTCCTCCATCGTCTTTGGCACTTTTCTAATAAGGACCTGACGCGATGAGCCGTGCCGTAGTCCATTCATAAACGTAGGCACCTTAATGTGCTCCGGTATCGAACCCACATTAATGGACGCAGACAGCGAACGCATCTCCTGCACATACTCTTGCAGAGATCGTTTCGCCTGTCGTGCTCCAAACAAGCGCGTCTGAAGTAATACTTCATTGTTAGGCGGCTGGTACATGGCGCGAATCTTTAAATTAAGATCGTCCATGATGGAAACGCATCAGCGTTTGCCATGAGCGCAGAGCAAGCCTACTCTGACGCTTTGCCACGCAAATTTGACATGGCATACGACACCATCCTGGTGTCGTCTTCGATGAGCTGCGCCACTCCACATTGCTCCACTTCTAAAATCCAGTGAACAATCGTATGTGGGGCAGTCCCATCGAACTTCGGAGGGTCCATCCGAATGGCCTTGGCTGATTAGACCGGGCAGGGAGCGTCTCAACAGTTTTGTTGATCGACGCGTTCAGAGCTTGCTCACGCAAAAGCTCATCCTGAGTCTTACTGATGGACTCAGCCGTGGCTTGGCTGTTTGCCTCGACGCGTTTCTACGCTTTTCGAGCACAAACGCCTCGAATTTCTTCAAATGAGCAACATGTTGCTCAGGTGGACAATTTAAGAGATTGGCCAGGGCTTGTTCACCAAGTCCCTGCACCAAGTGCTCTGCCACCTCCCTATAATGTTGGTAAGAGGTGAGAAAAATCACCCCAATCCACGTTCAGGGACATCCGTATCCACACGCACGCTCAGAGAGACGGGTCGTGGGAAGGAATACTAGTACTACCAAGTGTAGACGGGCGCCTGAAAAGAAGCTGCCACGTACTACGCGGACACACACTTTATAAGCAGTGTGAGGAAGCGATTAGACCGTCTTACCTCTGCGTGCGGTGGTGGTAGTGTTGGTCGGCGCTTAAAGCGCAGTACCAACTGTTGCCGGCCGCTTAAATCGATCCGAGCAACGAACTTTAGAACAAGCACCTACCTGCGTCACGGAAGCTGTTTCCAGACTTCCCGTGCGCAGTGAGTGTGATGTAGTAAGTTCAAGACTGGCTTTCTTCATAGAATTTAATTTAATATAACTCTAACTACTGATTGGTTAAATGTAAAGATCGGATTCGCGTTTCTTTAGTAGCGTATCCTTACGTGCGAGCTTAAAATATATTTAATCTCGCTGATGACGCTGTCTGAAGCGTCACCATGACGCCTAGTCCCAACTGGCGTCATCCTCGTTGAATGTGATTTCATCCATGGATATCACATTCACGAAGGTGGGTCAGCCGCAGGTCCAAGGTACCACGTACCTTGTTAGACCTGCCCGTTAAGTATTCAATACTTAACGAACCGTGTAACTTTTAGCCCGTTGCATTATGTTAAGAGTAGGCGACCGAATTGGTCATCTGATTCAAAATAACGGCCTAATTCCTTTACAAGGTCTGGCAACACCAGGACAGACGCACCCTATTATAATTTCCACGAACGCATTTAATTTTTAACACCGCTCCTTATTCTTCATTCTAGTAATATTCTAGACGCAATTTATTTGTGATTGGGTCCTTATACTTGTGTTCCGATTTTTACAAAATGGACACTTTTCTCCACTTGGACGCAGACGTGTATGACGGCGATCTGGCGAGCGAACCCATTGACCTCGAGACAAAGATCCAGCGTCACATTGTAGAGACGAGTCAAGGGACGTTGCTCTTTGCTGATCAAGCTATTCGACCGGTGGAAGTAGAGAAGAAAGCACTTGAGCTGGACGAACAGGAGCGCCAGCATTATCTGCAGCGCGTCTTGATCATTGAGAAAGAAATGCAGGAGGCCAACAATGAAGTACAGCAGCAAATTGACACAATGAAGCGGATTTTGAACCTCAAAGACCCCATGGAGCAGTTGGTCGAGTACCTGACACATAAGCAGGAGGACCGACGAGACAAGAATGTTAATGTTGTCGAGGATTTACTACAGTGCGCCAATCGTATGATGAACATTGAAGACAGCGAAGTGGCCGCACTTGGGGCTTTCTTCTTCTTGTGCGACCGACAACGACCACAGGCACGAGGAATGACACTCATGCTACCAGTTGTAGCGGCCATGTTGGAGGCTTCTAGGAAAAACGGATCCCCACACGCCGTTTTAGGGCATTAATTGATGGTTGACGACGCTGGAGACGCGAGGTTTTCAGTACTATGATCCCCACTGGAAAAAATCACATTGACTTCCCTGCGGATTCGGACACTTGTAAAAGGTCCGACCCTTATTCACTCCACTTTTACATGTCAGTAAGACACCAGGTAGGCTGCACTCACACCTGAACACCTCACTGTCACCTTTGTGGCCCCCAGACGGCGGCATAGATGAAGTAGCAGGCTGTTGACACTGCTCGTCCTTCCACTCAAAGAATCCACAGCTAGCTGCTCCCTGAAAGCTGCAACAATAAAACTCGCGATTTTGGTTTGGACCAGCCTTTCTGGTTATGCGCAAGTCGCAGGTGGTATGATGTCCGGAACATATTGGGGTAGTACCCGATGCGCCAGCAACCCTTGGAGCAGGCTGTGCCACTGGTCTGCCAGGTGCCTCTGTAATGTTACCCTTCCACTGAAAAAAGCCGCAGCTGTTGTCTGTTTGGCTACGTCGGCAGGTATAGAACTGTCGCCCCTTGTTTGGACCATCCTTCTTGACTGTTCTCTCGTCACACGGTTCATCATGACCAGGACACTTTACAACAAGAATATCGCTCGGGTTGGAGTCGGATGCCCAAGCGAAGAAGTTGCACTGCTCACCTTGGGGCAGCGGGCAGACGTAAAAAATGCGTCCTGTATTCGGTCCATCGCGCGTTACCTCTCGTTCGTGGCAGGGCAAACTGTGAACTTCGCATCGGGGTACGTCTGCAGTCATGCTTGGCGCATGGTGTGGTCGACTCAGTGCCTGCGAAGGACCAGAAGATCGTGGTGGAGTTCGTTGACGTTTTCGCCGTCTTTCTGCGTTCGTGTTGTCAATAATTGAACCAACTTCCTCGCTTCCAGATGCTGTGTTGTTAAAGTTTGAGCTTTGACTTCTTGCTTCTTCTCGATGTGGCAGACTAGGTTCGCTTTCTCTAGCGGCCTGACGCACTTCCCAAGAAGGCAACGCGGTGTCGTTCACTGCTTGGCCAAATTGTTCCAAGAAGGTCTGGTCCAGCACAGTAGCGCTACGGGTAACTTCAATAAAAATATTTTTCATCTGCGAAGAAAAAAAACGTGTTGTCACAACTTACGTGAACGCAGCTTATTTGAAGACACAAGTACCTGATCCATGCATGATTGCACAACTTGTTTCATTTGTTTTTGCCCCAACGAAATTGCTTTACAGTCGTTCTCCATCTGAAACTCACAAACAACAGAATTACTGAATAGAAGTCAAGATACAATGATTGCATTATCAAAACGTACCGCTGCACGAAGAACTGGTTTCGCCAATTCGAGGCCCATGTGCTCATATGATAAAACTAGTGCCAGCCCTAACGTTGTAGGTTTAAACTGGGTCGCGTTATTTACTTTGATGGCATACTCACGCTTCAAAATGGTTTTAATGTGCTCAGCAATAGTGGCATCAGTGCCAATTCCATTTGAATCCATTTTTGCGATCAGATCCGCCTCTGACAGAAGTGGTGGCGGGTTTGTCTCACCAGTAAGCATTACAATAGTTGATGGTCGGAACATGTCTCCCTGCTGATAAACAGGAATCGCGGACGCATTCCATTTCTCGTACTTGTAGATATCCAAGTAATTTCGCTCCTCTACCATCAGACCAGACGCTGTGAAACGCTCACCCATTATTCGCATGACAACACTTGTCTGACTGCCTTTAGCATCCCGGCTACAACACGCTAAGAAATGTAGAGCAACAAATTCATACACCTTCTTTTCGTTTGGGTCTGACAACGTATTCACATCAACACTCTTAGTTGGATGAATCGGAGGATGCGCTTGATCATCGGATTTTCCGTGTCGAGGCGCTTCGTATTTTCCTCCATCTAAAAGCTGACGTGTCACGTAATTTTTCCACTGCTGATGATTTTCGTGCAGCCGAACTAAGCCCATGAGATCTGTGCCTTCTTTAAAGTTACTCGTCTCTGTACGGGGATAGCTAATGAAACCCTTATTGTATAGACTTTCTGCTGCCTTCATCGTTGCCTCTGACGAGATCCGTAGCCACCGCGATGCTCGCTTCTGCAATTCCACCGTCGTAAGGGGCAAAGGCTTTCGTTTCCAAGATGGACGCTTGTCCACCGACTCGATCGTTGCTGTTTGGCTCTCCACCAAGTACTCGTAGATGCACAAGCATGCCAAGCGGTCGAAAAGGTGCCCGCGCTTCCACTTAAAGGTCGTTGTCGGCGCGTCTGGCTGATCATTTTGCTGGTGCGTAACGCTGATGTAGTAAAATGCCTCGCGTTCAAAATTCTGTACCATGAGAAACCGTTCCACAACGAAACCTAGCGTAGGAAATTGGCACGGGCCGTAGCTGATGACACTCTTTTCCCGCTTTAGTGCTGGAAATTTGCTCTGGATGCGCATTGTCTGAAATCTTGTGAATGCTGCACCGATTCGTAAATCGATTTCCGATCGAGCATCGACTGCAAGTGAGAGTTTCTCATTGGGCTCCGATAAGTTTTGCACTGCGTGGATGATATCACGAGGGATCAGTGCTGAAAAGCGGGCGCGGGAGACGCGCATGCGTTGGTTGGATTTCTCACAAATGGTTTTGACTTCGTAGGCAATGTTTTCCCCTTCTCGATCACAATCTAGCCACAGCACAAGCCACTGCATCATGGGGGGGGGGACAACATGGTGATCAGTGCTAGCTCCTATACCACTACAAAACAATAACATCAGTACCTGACTGTGTTTTGCCTCTTTCAATAGCGTTTTTTCTATCTTCTTTTGGGTCTCATCACTGCGTATCCTCTTGATCACTGGAGCTGTAAAGAGCTCCACTGGATCGCAAGAGTACCAGCTTCTGACCCTTGCATCAAAATCTAACTCCATCATATGTCCAGTAACCGATGTTACGACCATTTGAACCTCTTGTCCTTGGATTTGATATGGGAATTCAAAGAGTGCATTGTATTTGGAAAATCCAGGTCGCTACAAGTAAAGAGATAATAAAATAATATCAGGTCTTCATGGTTTTACACACTTGTTAGCATTGTTATAAGAATATCACGGCACATAAATGAACGAATGTACACAACACACACGCTGTGAATGACCAGAAGATAGAATATTTGCAATCTCTTTAGCCACCGACGGTTTCTCTGCTACGTTGAGCACCTTCATTCCTGCAATTGCCACTAATTGATCGTTTTGATTGGTCAATATATTCTAACCAATCAACATTTACCAGGGGTTCAACTCCAAGACCATCACTCCTTCGTATCAGCCATGGGACGACCAAGTGGCGGCTTTTTAAACGTGTACAAACCGATGGGATTAACGTCACATCAATGCGTGGGTGCAATGCGTCGAGTGTTTGACATACGTCAGATTGGACACGGTGGAACACTCGATCCAATGGCTACGGGAGTCCTTACGGTGGCTGTAGGTCGAGCTACGCGTTTTCTACAGTATTTAACAAATGGGAAGGAATATAAGGGCGTTATTCGTCTAGGAATCACGACGGATTCAGACGACATTACAGGTCAAGTCTTGGCACAACATCCTGCTCCATGGGTTAATGAGAAGACAGTGGATTTAATTTTACAGAGGTAGGAAATATAATATTCATAAGAATAAATATACAGTAGTTGATGAGATGTAGGACTGATAATAAGTAATCACTTGTAGGTTTATTGGGACAATCAATCAAGTGCCTCCACGAGTCAGTGCCATTAAGAAAAACGGGGTTCGATTGTACAAATTGGGGAGAGCAAAGAAGGTGAGGATTGACACGAGGATGAGTGGTGACAAAGAACTAATGGGAAACTGACAAGTCATGTAGGATTTTGACGTCAAGTCGAGACGCGTACATATTGAGCAAATTGATGTGCAGAAGTTCATAGAGGGAGATTATCCTGAGGTGAGCAGTTTGAAACGTTGTGGGCTTGAAGAGAAAGCTAATTGGTGGGTGACAGGTGAAGATCCGTGTTGTCTGTGGAGGAGGCACGTACATCCGGTCAATCGCACGTGAATGTGGCGAAGCACTGATCGTGCCACTCAAGCGAGTGGATTTGGCTCGCAATCTGCGCAATCCCGCTGGTGAGTTTTGTGTTGGGGGAACGCTTGCTGAGCTCGAAAGGACTCGAAGTGGGACTTTCACCATCGACGATAGCCTCCATTTGGACGACATTCGAACTAAAGTAGAGGTACGATGCACTCCATTAATGAACAACGTGATGTTTAGCTTTTTAAATGCTTTATGCCTGTGCACAGAGAGGACATTCCCCTCTTCAGCCGATTGAAAGCATGCTCCAGCATCTTCCATTTGTCGAGTTGCCTCAGCAAGCGGCCCAGCGTTGGCTGCTTGGCGGCGTCGTGACAATTCCGGCAGACGAAATTGAAATAATGGAGCACGACGAGGTCGTTACAGGCAAGCCTATTCGTATTTATCGGCCATCCTCACTAGAATTGCTTGGAATTGCGCAAGTGCACGCGCAGCACAAGGAGTTTGTTCTCAGGAAGCGTTTATTCATCTAACAAAATCTTTTTTCAAAACTTACTGGTAAGTCGGTGCGGTGTTGCGGCTCTGCTGCATCCAGTTTTGCAGACCTGCAGCCATAATTGTCGCAAACATGTCCGTGTCGATGGACATTGCAGGACCGGTGGACGCTTGCCGAGAAGGTTTCTCGTTCTGCTCATTTTCGTACGCATATGCTGTCGCCCCAGTTGGTTGCACCATATTTCTTGCTTCGTTAAAATCAACCATCGACAGTGGACGCATTGTGGGGGGCTCGGGCTGAGCAGCTTCATCGTAGATTTGGGGCTTCTCGCCTTCAGCAGCTCGATTCTTTGCAGCTTCTTCTGCTGCCGCACGGCAATTGTCAATATGCTCTCGAAGCGGAATCATCAAGGCGGCGCGACACAATTCCTTAAGGTCACTACCACTATAGTACGCGGTGTCGATGGCGAGCTGATCGAAATCGAAATCATCGTCCACTCGCTCCGTTTTGAGCTGAAGCCGGAGTATCTTCTCACGCTGTGGTTGGCTGGGCAGTCCAATTTCAAACGTGCGAGGCATTCGGCGGAGGAAGGCTGGATCCACGTCACCAGGACGGTTTGTCGCACCCATGACAATGACACCAAAACCACCATCATTCTCGTTGCTCATTTCAGTGAAACCATCCCAGAGCGCCAGGAATTCCTACAGCAATAGCACAAACAGCAGGTCACACAACAGCATAAACAGCAAGTCACACAACAGCCTACTTAGCAACCATCAGATCAACTTATGCAGTGCTCACCGTTTTCATTGACGAGAACGTCGGGTCAGACCCGCTGCCTCGTATCCCCATGAAAGAATCAACCTCATCAATAAAAATGATGCATGGTGCCAGTTTCCGAGCGAGTGTAAAGGCGGCGCTCACAAGCTTCTGCGATTCGCCAAACCACTTGCTCATAATGGTACTGATCTTCAGATTGATAAAGAATGCGCCAGATTCCTTGGCGATGGCCTTTGCCAACATGGTTTTGCCTGTGCCAGGTTTTCCGTAGAGCAAGATACCTTTGGGAACTGTGAGCAGTTTCCCACGTGATGCAAAAAACTCTGGATTCTTGAGCGGCAACACCACCAGGTCGTGAATATCACGTTTCTGACGCTCTAAGCCACCAATGTCATCGAACGATACGTCAATGTCTTGTGGATCCACGATATCACCAGCAATGACATTCTCAAAGTAATTGGTATGAAATACACGGCGACCCGTACGCTGCAGTCGATTTTTAAGCTTGGCTTGACTATCCTGTCCCTTCGTCCAGTCATCCATCATAGGTTTTAATTGCTGTACAAGTATATAGAACAATCATTAGGAAGTACGTCATGACAAAAGAAAGAAACTTGTGTATTGCCTTGTATAGGTACTTGGATGTTTGGTACATTGTGTAAAGCATCAGTCCATCCAGTACGATACCAATCACTTCATGCTTAATAGAGACAACATGTTCTGGAGTTTGCTGCTTGTCGTGTGACGTCTCAACGCTTTTGCTGCTATTGCTGCCCATCGTCGCAATCTGGAGAATATGATGACACAATATCGATGGGTCAAGAAGACTTTGAAGAAATACTGGAGGTGGATATATAATCGTACCGGTTTTTAGTACGAAACTCCCAAAAATAGGTACGCAATTATATTATTGCACCATAATTGCAATTATACAATAGTAATTGTTTTCTGCATCCATTATTGCAACAATGACGCCTATAAAGAAGCCACAGAGTTCGTACCTGCTCTTTTGTAATGAGAAACGCAAGCAGGTAATGGACAAGAACCCGGGCATTCGTATTGGTGAGATTCAAAAAATTATCAGCGTCCAGTGGAAGGAACTTCAACCCGAAGAGAAGGAAATTTACGTCCAATTGGCAGCCAAGGACAAAGCACGTTACCAGCAGGAGCTACTGGACAATCCATTAATTAATGACGAACCTACAGCCGAGGAAAGAATGACACGTGACTCTAATGTCTGTATTTATCCACTGGGAAGAGTGAGAAAAATTGTACAAAGTGATCCGGACGTGGGCAAAATTTCAAAGGACGCATTGATTGCAATCGCAAAAGCGTCGGTAAATTGAACGCAACTGTGCAGAAATGTGGAGTGACAGTAGTATTGACCAATGTCGATGTTGCTGCAGGAATTGTTTGCTCAGTTTCTAGGCACAAAGAGCTACGAACAAGCGTTGTACCGCAACAAGCGGCAGATCAAGACATCGGACGTGACGCGAACAATTCAGACAACGGCTTCGCTCGATTGGTTACGTGAAGATTTTCCAGACGTGAAGCCCATTCAAGCAGTTGTTACTGTTGAAAAAAAGGCGAAGAAGGACAAGAAAGAATTGCCTGACACTGCATCTTTCTTTAAACCAAGGACGACAGGAGAGACAGATTCCGCGGAGTAGATATCACACAGACAAAAAGCTAATGTACCTGCGGCTCCCTCCACGTTGCTGTCTGGCTTGGCTGAGCTAGATGGGAAAACTGGGAACTCTATTGAAAAAACTGCAGGAGAGGCTTCTCATAACATCATACGCCAACACGGAGGTTCAGAATAGAAAAATCAGACAGCGATCAGCCTAAATCCAACCGCCGCAATGAACTTGATTTACTTGCTCACAGCTTTCGTCTCTCCCTCCCTCCCACGTCACGCCACGATGCTCATCTATCTCCTACATCTGCATAAATCGCCTAAAAGATATCGTTCCAGTCGTCAAACTCTTCGTCGTCATCATCCTCTTCCTCTTGCTCCACCACTTCCTCGGCCACAGCCTCCACGCGTGGGATAAGACCACGACGACCAGCAATTTTAGCGACTAGTGATCCTTCTGGAATGTTAGCTGTCACTCCTTCCGGAAACTTGATAGACTCCAGGTACACCTTGTCACCTACGTGCAGACCATTGACGTCAATCTGCAAAGTGGCGGGGATATCGTCCGTGAAGATGGTGCAGTCAAGTGCGTGGTGAATGTGGTTAATGTAGCCTCCGCGCTTCAGACCAGGGCTTCCTTCCTCGTTTAGGTACGTGATGGGGATAGATACGGTACGACCAGGCTTGTAACGCAAGAAATTAACAGCTATGGGCACGTCCGTCACCGGGTCCAGCTGTACATCTCGCATATACGCTTTAACGGGCAACTGATTGTCCACTTGTACCTGGAATACCTGATTTTCAATAGACGTCCAAAGCTTACGATGCATGCGTTCAAAGGTTCGGGTTGGAAATGAGACAAGCACGCGCTCGTCCTTGCCGTCTTCGCCTTCACCATAGAGCACACCAGGTAGAAAGCCCTGTTTGCGCAATCGTCGAGATGCACGTGATCCTTCGGTCTCACGTACTATCAATTGCAACACATTTGAATCGACCGTGTGGGTCGTAGCAGCAGCAGTTGCAGTCGAGAAAAGAAGAGCCACCTGCTGAGCACCAGAACGCGTCGCGTGCCGCTGGAGCGCGAACATGTTTGTCAATGCTGAGCCACAGATTAAGCTGTAATACCATCGAGAAACCGGTATATTATGAGGATATAACATAACAAAGGTTTTGTGTCAACACAAAAATCGAGTCTGTAGCACTAGTATTTTCTATCGTGACTTATAAGTACAGCAGGTCAAATGTTAAATTCCGATTAAGAAAATGATGTTGCAAATTTTGTATTATCGGCTATTTTGGCGTCTGGACCTTGGACCGTGTACTGTACGTACACTACTACACAAGCGTAAACTGTTCATATAACAGTGCTCTAATGCGGTAATAATTCTTGGACAGGGCACCCTCCATCACAACTTCATTGTTCATCGCGCGTTTAAGAACGACTCCATCATTGCATACCAGCATACCACCACGAAATTTCGCTTGAAAACCTGCTTTACCCAGCACTTGCTTCATCACGTCCAGCTTCATCTTGCCGTCGCTGAGCAGAATTGGCTCGTGCGTTGTTTGACCACCGTTCTCGTTCAAAGGCTGCAGTATCGGCACAGAGCTATTCTCGGGTAGAGTGAATAAGCCAGTGACGTAGGCAACTTCGTGGCTCCCAACCTGATACATTGCAAAGATACTTTTGTCAGTGGGAAGACGTTATAGAAAAGAAAACACGATATTCCAACGCACCTTCCGGAATACTGCAGACGTGTACAGCGACTCCTTTAATGACAACTTGTACACATTCGTGTCGGACTCGATGTCAATACACTCCATCACATTCGGAGTAAACACGGCTTCGCACATTGGAATCGATGATTCCACGAACTGTTTGAGTTCGTTTGTCGTCTTCTCCGTGCCATGAACCAGAATAAGCTTTCGAGGCTTTACGTTGCCCAAACAGTTTCGAATTGCTCGGCCGTCTGCAACACCGTCAAAGTCTACTTGCGTGATGCGAGAAGCGATCTAAGGCAAACAAGAAGGACATCTTAGACAGAAGGACCACTCAAAAAGGCGATAGCCCAGCTCATACATTGACGACGACTTCGTTCGTGACAGTTTTGGTAGGCCGGCTTTCAACAGCAGTCTCCTGATCAGCGTTTTCCATATCCTCATCTCCGTCTGCATCTTCAATAATGTTGCGACGCGCTTGACGGATTGCCAGTAAAGCAGCGTCCTTGAAGTCATCAGGATTGATAATCTACCGACAACCAATGCATATCAGAAACGAACTCTATTGTGAAGTAGATGCACGAATAGACTTACCTCTCCATATTCGTCCCACTCGATCTTCGGTTCTACAGCAAAGAACATCGGATACCGGACCGACGCAAACTGCCCCAGGCCGACCTTGAACGTACCCCGAAGTTGCACTGCAACAAATCGTAAGAGGCAGAACCTCGTAAGAAGCAACTCCTCGTATAACAGCAAAACCCTCGCAACGCACCTTCTTGCTGTGTAGTTTCCTCTTCCTCCGACTCGGATTCAAAGTCTTCGATTCCCATCATCATATCTTCCATAGCTGCCTCCTCAATCTCCTTCGCCTTGTTTTCAGCCTCAGTCCGAAGACGTTTTCGTTCCTTCACTTCATAAAGGGCAAGCTCTGCTCCCTCCAAAAACACTTTTTCTCTCACTGTGCATGAAATAACTTTCTCTGTTGACGGGCCCTTGGCGAGCTTTAGTACACGGGATGCAAACGACGTTTTTGGCGTTGTGGAAGTGAAAATGATGCTGTTCCGGGGGTCAGGAGCCCAGCGAATGAAAATGTCCTTTGCGAAACCACATTCTAGACTTGGTGAAGTAGCCAACACCACCTTAAATGCAAAAAATAGATCAGATAACCGAACTCCCGTATAGGACGAATAAAAGGCCTGGCGCACCTTTGGGCTTGGGAGAGCATCCAGTTCTTCCAACGTGTGAACCAGATGAATGTGACTACAAGTAATACACAATAACTTTATATCTCACGACATCCACAAGTTTTGTACCAGCAAGACAATAAATACGTACGAGAATTGAAACGGATTCTGACGACCAACGTCAAAGTTCTTTGCGATGCGGTCATTGCACCACTCCAGCATTGCCTGCGCAGCCTTCGGCGTGTAGTAACTCATATCATGAAGTAGCGCAATTGGATCGCGCAGCCTATTCACAACAACAGCATGCACTTAGATATATTGCTCGAGCGACACCATACAAGTGCTGGGCACCTACTTATTCTGAATCCAGTACTGATCCAGCACTCGCATTAACTCTAGCACGCGGCCAGAGCTGTCGGTCGGAATTAATACATTTCCTCCATTCCGAACTGTCTTTAAAATCTCCATCATAATCTACGTAGGTGATCAAATGAGATTAGCTTCGACTCAGAATATCCACAGAAACCAAAAGATTGAACAAGTCAACCTTGCTATCTCGGTCTTTGAGCTTGGGTTGCTCTGCATGGAGACTCATGGAGTCTGTAATAAGCAGTGTTGGACGTCTGCAATAGCACCACAAGCAAAATCACAGTAAGAAAGACCAGCAACATATGAAAACTAAGCCCGCTGTTGGCATCCATCGAAACCTCACGTGAACGAGTCTAAGATCGTTTTTTGCAGTACATGTTCCGAGCGATGGTTGTAGTCGACAGCATAGATAATATCATCCTGCAATAAAGCACAAAATTGACCTGCAAGTGTCAACTAAAAGTCCCTATCAGCTCTCTTGAACTCTCAACTCACCGTCTCTTTCATGATCCTCCACAGCGCGCCACCAATAAGGTGACCCGCCACATGAGGTGTAATCACAATTCCTTCTCCTGAGCTTGTGAGCGTCAATTTCTCTGAATATTTGAGTTGTTTAAAGTTTTCAAAGACCAAATCGACGTCATCCAACGAAAAGAGCGAAAAATCACTGTCATGCTTTGTTTTGGCCTGAAATGCGTCATATAGAGCAATTTGTCCCATGCGATGCACTGGTAATGTCCCATATACAGGCGCTTGAAGTCCTAGTTTTCCCATGGCATACGGAAGTGCTCCCATATGCGCCAGGTCTAAATGTGACACTAGCACAAGATCAATGCGATCGACGACACGCTGCAATGGCTTCAATAGCTCAAGATCATACTCATCTGTCCATCCACAGTCTAATAGGATACACACTTCATCAATTTCTAACAAATATGCACAACAAGGTGCACTTGAGTGAACACCATAGAGAGGTGTAAAGGTGATCACTGCCATCACTTACTCTTTTTTTAATAATGTACCCGTTGTTCTAAATTACCAAAATTTAGAGTTTAGGAATTTGAAAGAGTTTGAAAAAGTATTTTGCAAAACTTCAGACTCAATACATAAACTGTAGCCATCTCGTTTGGTCTGGTACATAGTTTCTTACATATATGTGTGTGTACCACATGTGTCAGTCACTAATAATGCTGCGAGGAGCGACGCACTCGATGCCACTAACGCGTCGTTCGTTGCGCGCCTTATCGACGCGTCGGGTGGCGCAATTGGAGACTCAAGTGCTGGAAAAGTTGCGCAGTGTCTCGGATGGATTGGGGCTGGGCGACATCGTATCCTTAGGCCGTGTTAAAGTGCGACACCAATGGATTGATCCAAATGGCTACATTTATCAAGCGTCTCACTTTTACTGCTATTTACGCTACTTTGATGGTTGATGTGCTATGTGCAGGACTTGCATTTGAAGCCTGAGAATGGACTTGTTGCGTGCAAGATTGAGATGTCATCGCCGGCCCTGATGGACTTGGCCCAGCAGGTTTGTTGGCTGTTCAGATGATTACTCCAATCCTCACTCAAGTATTTTTATACAATACTTTCTTGTTGCTGTTATTCACAATTAGTGGCAAAAGGAGGCGCAATTTGCTGTGAAGAAGCTCGAGTGGGTGAAAGAAACAAAGTTTGAGATCACCAAGTATCGGCCACGTAACGCTCGTGCTGGGCGTTTCTCGTCGCTGGCTCACGTTTCGGATATCATCGCAGTGTCAAGTTGCAAGGGTGGAGTGGGAAAATCTACAGTGGCAGTTAACTTGGCTTTCAGGTGAAGTGTAGGGAAAAGTACTGAGCTTACGTCAAATTTGACAATGGACTGTATTGTGAGCTTTTAGTCTGGCAAAGCGTGGTGCTCGGGTTGGTATTTTGGATGCCGATATCTATGGACCAAGTCTACCCACTATGATCTCATCATCGAAAGACTGCACCATTCGTCCGTCAAGAAAGGTCAAGAACTTTGTCGAGCCGGTAGAGTACGAGGGTGTCAAATGCATGTCGTTCGGCTTTGTGAACCAACGTGCTGCTCCGGGTGCAGGAGGTAGAATCAATGCTGCTGGTTGTGGCTGTGCTCGACGAATATGTTGTTATACTGAAGGGTATTGTTGGTACCAAACAGGAGTCGGAGCCGCTGTGATGCGTGGACCTATGGTTTCAAAGCTAGTAGATCAGCTCGTTCTTGGTACAGAATGGGGCGACCTCGATTATTTGGTAGTGGATATGCCACCAGGAACAGGGGATATACAAATATCCCTTTCGCAACAAATGGCTATTTCAGCCGCAGTTGTCGTAACAACACCGCAAAGACTTAGGTACGTACGCTACATATTCCGACTTGGTTTGCGCCAATCTAAAGCTTTTCTTGTTGCTTAGCTTTGTCGACGTAGAGAAGGGAATTGCAATGTTTGATGACCTAAAGGTATGTCGATCAATATGAGGTCGCGGGTGCGTCTAGCTAACATTACAGTGGCAATTGTGAAGGTGACAACTGCAGCTGTAGTGGAGAACATGTCCTATTTCGACTGCTCTCATGGACAACGACACTATCCGTTTGGTCAGCAGTTCATCGCACTTTGTATTGAACTGCTACACTATTATTCATGTTTCTGGGATATCTTTTGTCGCAGGGCCAGGACACACACACGAGCTTGTCAATAAATACAACATGAAAAACGTATTCAAGCTGCCTATCTCAGAGCATTTCAGTTCTTCTGTTGATTCTGGACGGTGCGTGCATAACCGTATTGAGTATGATTTTGTCTTGACATGTGATCTGACCTTGCTTGGTTGTAGTCCCTTCGTTTTGTCAGGATTGTCTTCAGAGGAAGAAAAGATTTACGACTTGCTAGCGACCACAGTAAGTGACGAGCTTGTCGGTGAATCTGGCCTACCTTTTATTAAGAGTGAATGCTAGGTTGCAAAGGAACTGGTGGTATTGAAGCACGACGTTCGCCTGGCACCGGATCTGCTCTACGATAAGAACCGCGGCATTGTTCTCCGTTTGTATAGTTTAAACGAGGCAAAGGAAGCTGTGCTTCACCCAGCTGATCTCCGTGCTCGGTGCGTTCGAATCCAATACGTGCTTTGTTGCTGGATTGTCTCGTCTTATTGTGCTGGTGGTTGTTTCGTTACAGATGCCGGTGCGCTCAATGCATCGACGAGTTTACTGGAGAGCAGGTGCTGTTCTGCCTTGGATTTGGTACGACGTTGTTTGTTCTAACAGTCAGACGTGTGCAGATTTTGGATGCAGCTACCATTTCAGATGATATTCACCCGACCGCAGTCGAACGAAAGGTTTGTCAAGCTGTATTGCTATTTTTTCTTACCTAAGATTGCCCACTAAATGCACTGTGTATCAGGGCAACTATGCCTTTGCAGTCACGTGGAGTGATGGCCACACGTCTTCGCTCTACACGTACGACGCACTTACAGCACTCATCGCTGAATACACGAGCGAACAGCAATAAGTGGCAGTTGACTTCCAATTTGTCGGTAAAAGGCATACTATGATATATGGCCCCGATATAGAGAAAACGGTCGAATTAGTTGAAATGATGCTTCATCAGACGAGGCAACGAAGGGCTAAGACTGCGGGCAGGCATTAAGCTACATCAAGAGGTATAGGCTAAGAAGGCCTGAACTAACAACATCCTGTCCAATTTACGCGTTATCTATGCATCATCGATTCATCAAGCTTTTCAAATGCTCTCTATTCTGAAGTGACAAATAGTAAATCCCAGATCGCGCAATAACCTTTATCAATGTGCAAGTTCCTGTCCTCGGCCGAGCTTGCTTGTGAACTATTTCACATCCTCTTTTCCTTGGTCGCGAACACACTTGGAATGTGATGCTACTCCTCTTGCTCTGCTTGCCCGGACGAGTGCATGTTCACGTGCTGCACGTTCACTTATGTTTCTGAAGCAGCTTCTCGTCCTCCTCGGCTGCGTGCTGCTGAGCAAACTGCTCTATGCACGAAATGGCAAAGTAGCCAATGAATGCCACCATGATCCATGAGCCAAGTTGGGAAACCAGACTACTACCAGAAGTTGCAGCCGTGCCTGCATGCTCCGCAGCTGCCGTGACCTGGGCCGAATGAAACTTCTCACGACATTCCAGTAGAAACTCACTAACACGAGAGCCAAGCCCCCACTGTTTGGGTGTAATACGCCCAATAAGCGCCTCCACTCGCGTGAGATGTGCGTCCGTGAAGATAGTGATGAAGAACGCAGCTTGCATGTTGGCCTTGATGAGAGCCTTGCCAATAAGCGTGGCGCCAAAGAATGTCCAAAAAGGCATGAGGAAGTGTCCGCAACAGATACCACACAGATCAAAAGCCATGTTAGGCCACGCTGACATGAGCAAGACGCCCCAAAAACCGTGCTTTTCCAAGAAACGAATCATCCAGTTTTTCATACTGTTCATAAGATTGTACTGAGACTTGGACTCAGCAATCTCCTCAAACTCTTCATTGCGTTGACCAGCGAGCTTGGCAGCACGACTAAGTGCATAGGGTGGAATCTCTCCAGCTGCAGTACCTGCTCCCCAGAGAATACAAGGAAGAAAAACCTTCGAAAAGATGGCGGCGAACGTGACCGTAGAGACTTCCGATACGTCGTTACAATTTGCCTCGAATGGATGGAACCACATGTGGTGGCGACTATCAAAATCCAGTGATTTACATTCTTCTGCCCCTTGCACCACTAGGAAAATATGAGGAAAGAGAAAGAGAATACCCGAATGCATGCCTGTACCCAGTCCCACACTTGAGAGAACACCCAATCCCACCCACCAGACGACAAACTTGATGTTATTATTAAACTCGTCTAGCAGTTGATGGTGTGGACCATCACGACTTGAAGCTACGAGCCACAGTAGCAACAATGGCAGCACAACAAATCGTGTGGCTGCATTACGCTGTATTTTCAGTGCTAACCACTTGCAAAAGCGAAAGAATACAATCCCAAAGTGATAGAAAACACTTAAAGGACGACGGAAGAGTGTCAGTTTCTTACGCTCTTGACGCAACACTTCAGCAAGAGGAACAGACGTGTTATTCCTACTCGTCATAGTCTTCCACGACTCTCTTTCGGTCCAATTGACGTGTGTCGTTGGCAGTTCTTTCCCCACCACTTTTGATTGATCGAAATGAGACAGTATGTAGGGTTTGGCTTGTAGCCAATCGAACGCTTGTACGGAGATTTTTATTTTGACAAATCAGCATTGGGTATCTGTGGGGTTATTCGTACTACATTCACTCGACATCATGATGCAGTGTATACTTACCAAAAGTCTTCAACAAATTGAGGAAATTTAACCGCGAAGTGGCTGTTGAAAGAATGATGTCGTTTTTCAAAGATACTTGTTGGAAACAGGAAAAGTACATACTATAAGGACATTCTATATCGTCATAAGTGATTATAACGTTTTGCAATACAATGACGCATTGCAGATATATCGCATTTATGTCGCCGTTAACGACACTGATTATTTTAAACAGTGTGGAATTGTTGCATGTCCTAAACAGAAATGTAGACGTGAGAATCTGACAGGATTTGTTGCTGCCGTGATGGCAACTGAACGAATTACTGTCAGAGTTGGACGACGTGCACCAGAGCACTAGAGACATGAAAGCCAGTCTCATTGTCGGGTTCTGGTCGGTTGACTCGCGCTGATTGAAGTGAGCTTCCACTGCAGAACTTTGCATGACATAGGCACTGCCCGTATTACCGTATTCATTCCGGCATTACAAATATATAATGCTTCTTACATATACAGCCTAGCTTGTAAGTGGCTCCGCAATGACACATTGTGCGCTACAAACAGCGTACTGGCCACCTTGACCTGCAGATAAGAAGACCTGAGGATGTGGACTATCATGATCCAGTTGCACGGTCATGTGCCTGAGAGTAAACAAAATCTCACGGTAACATTCATGACAACTTTTGCAATAATCCGAGGACTGGATGTATCCAATGTATAATTTCTTTGTTTTTTCCATGATTGTTCGCGATCTGCTGTGGTCCACAAAAGGTTTACGCTATAGTTACTCGTGAACTGACAAGTGACAAAGCATCAACATGAGCAGCTTTTTTAAGCAAAATGTTAAGACCCCTATCGTGAAACTGCTCAAGTCTGGCGGTGCGTATTATCACCTCTAATTGTCTCCTCTTTCTCCTTTCTATTACGATAACATCTTTCTCTCTCTCTTAGCTTCCCCTAGCAGCATTGCACTGGCCATGGCGTTTGGTGTCTCTGGAGGAATCTTTCCCATTCCTGGGGTCACAACTGTACCCGTAATGGCTGCCATCTTTCTCTTTCGACTGAACCCCGTAGCTGCCATGCTTACAAATTACCTCATGACGCCACTAAACATTGCGTCTATCCCCGTCTTCATGTGCGTCTGAATTAGTCATTTCTGCTTCTCTGCAGGTGTTGATTGTCATGTGACTTTGTTGATGTTGTAGCTATTACGGCAACGCTTTGTTTGGAGGAGGTGAAGGTGACAGTGAGTTTGCCATGAGCAGCTTTATGGAGGACATGAAGACAGACACGATCAACACGCTGCTGGTCTTCCGCTTTACGCTATTGCACGCCATCTACTTGTGGCTGCTTACCATGCCGGTGCTTACACTTGCCGTCTATGGCGTGCTTACACCCGTTCTACGTCGTGTTATGCCCAAGAGCAAAGATGAGGGGAAGCATGCCTAAGTAGAATTAGGCTTCTCAAGACTCGTCGCCTCTAGTGGCGAGCATATGCTTTCATTCATTCAGTAAATTTTATGTTCTTTGTCTAGTACAACCTTGTTTGCCATTAGTTTCGCTAGCAGCGGCAAGACTGCGATGAATTTTTTTTTGAGTTTAATGATAATACGCAAGCGCTCCGACATAAGCAGCGTATTGCAACAGCACACACGCGTTTGTCCGTGTGTCGCATTTGAGAGCTTTAACACCATAGAAAAGTTACTCAGCACATTTTTTGCTACGGTTTAGCCGCTTCTGGGCGGCGAGGAACTCTTCTTCACTGGGCTCGCCTGGGTCCTGCGATGCAGCCTTACGCTTTGACTTTTTACCCTTGTCAGTGTACTTGGCTTCCAAGCTGCCAAGCAACGATTTAAATTCGCGCTTTCTGATTACAAAAAACAGACTTAAAAGTCAGTAATGCTCAGACGATTTTCATGTACTCAACAAGCACGACATCACCTTTCCGTACTGAGCGCTGTGCTGTCCGACTCCTCCCCACGCTTTTTCTGGTTGCCTTGGATCTTTTTCAACAGTTCTTCGGCCTCGCGCGCTTCCTTCTCACGCTTTGCTTGCTTGCGCTTTTGCTCTACCGGAGTTTCTTTCCTTTTCGTCTTTTTGGACTGCTTCTTCACGTACTCGCGCCATGTCGGGAAGGTCTTCAACTGTTTTCACCAATCCACGAGTTAATACTTGATGGTATTGAAACTTTTATCGTCTAGCATAGACACTGACCTCCTTCTCTTTAATGGCCTTCCGGATCATCTCCGCAAAGCGTTCTTCATCGTCGTCCGTGGACAACATGATCGTGTCCAAGATTTGCTGCATCTTACCCTCGTACTTGGTGTAGGCGGACAGAACATCACGTCTTTCCTCATCTGAGTGACGATATTCCCCCTCGAACCTGTCAATATCCTCCATGGATACCTTGGGAAAGATACGTGCAAAGTATTGTGTCCACATCTGGAACGACGAGGTCTTGTTGTCATGGTCGTCCGATAGGATTGTGCCCGACTCATCGTAGACCGCACGTGCTTCCTTGTCACTCAAGATCGAATGGATGGCACTCACAGCCTGAAACTTGGCTGTTGCTTTGATACACGAAGCTTTATCACCTCGTTGCTTGTCAGGGTGCTACAACCATGGAGCAAGAATGTCAAAAGACTCCACTATCTTACGAGTAAAACGAGCAGACGCACATATTTCAGAGCCAGTTTACGATAAGCCCGAGTAATTTCCTTATCAGTGGCTGATCTCGACACACCCATCACCGCATACAGGTCACAGTCGTCCCCAAATTCAGCATGGATCATCGCTGCTGCCATCGTTGCAACTAGTGACGTACTTGCGTGACAAAAAGCATTACAAAAGTTACAAATCGTATCAGCTCTAGCTACTACCACATCTTTTTATGTGTCTTCCACCCAACTATTTAACTCCGAATCTTCAACTTAAAAAAGTGTCAACTTAACGGAGAGAGAGAGGATAGAGAGAGAGAGAGAAAGATGCTGTCGTTCGGAAGCGGAGACTCAGCGCAAGTGGCAATTGTGACAGGTGCCGGTCGTGGATTAGGTCAAGCGTGGGTGCAGGCGTTAGCGGCACGCGGGGTTCGTGTTGTAGTAAATGACAACGACATTGACCATTCACTTGTGGACGACGTTGTCCAGAACATCCGTAAACGAGGTGGTGTGGCTGTGGGTGATTACAATAGCACGACAAATGGTGTGGAAATCGTCAAGACTGCAATCGACCACTTCAAAAGAGTCGATATCTTGATCAATGTATGCAGTTCCTGCCCTCTAGTTGTGAGAGTATGGGATAAAGCATGACAGTTTCTGCTGTTGTTACTGGTGTAGAATGCTACAGTTATTCGTGATGGATCCTTCCGCAAGATGACACCAAAAGACTGGTATTTTGACTGCAAGAGGAGCTCGCTATTGTTGAAGACTGCTAGATTATGACAAAAGATAGAGTGCTTATTGCTGCTACTGCTGCTGCTGCCTGTAGGGACGACGTGTATCGTTCAAGTTTGCTGGGCACGTTCAGTGTCACGCAAGCGGTGTGGCCTATCATGCGAGACCAAAAGTACGGCAGGATTCTTAATTGCGTGTCTGGTGCCGGGTTTTATGGCAACTTTGGGCAGGTCAACTATGCGGCGATGAAGATGGGGCTCGTTGGATTCACTGTGGCGCTCAACCGAGAGGGTCCGTTGGCCGATCTAAGCTACAGACGAAGAAGGAGTTGCTGTTAATAATGGCTTACACTGTTGAATGATAATTTGTTGTTTTAAGCAGGTCTCAAGTACAATATTGCTGTAAATGCAGTGTCTCCTGTGGCTGGCACCCGACTGACGCAGCCAGTTTGGCCCGACGACGTCTATGCCAAGCTGACGCCGGAATTGACGTCGCCAATCATTGTGTATCTATGTCACTCATCATGCAAGGACAACGGTCAGCTGCTTGAGCTGGGAGGTGGATGGGTCGGAGCTCTGCGTCTACAGCGCACCCATGGTGTCGGCTTTCCCACCGATCCCACTCAGTTTACGCCTGAGCTCGTGGCAGAGCAATGGCGAGATGTAATGGATTTTAGTCGCGTGACCCATCCCACGTCCACGCAAGACTCGTTTGAACCAATGATGCGCAACGTGACGGCACCACCGACGTCTCTGACTACTTCTCGCTCTAGTGAGTGTGCCGAAGTGTTTGACCGACTGCGGACGACACTGCAGGAGAAAGGTCCTGCGCTTAGCAAGCAGATTTCAGGTGTGCTCGAATGGCACATTAACAAGGAGGTATGGACGATATCATTGCTTCATGGCAAGGGCACGTTGTTAGAAGGGAGACACCCGCGTCTGGCACCGGACCTGCAGATCCACATGGACGAGCAGGACTTTTTGGATTTGGCAGCGGGCCGACTGCGGATGCAGCAAGCATTGATTCGAAAGAAATTGCGCTTACAGGGCAACTTGAAGATGGCCATGAAGCTGCAGCCATTTGCGGATCTCCTGTTGCAACAACATCAGGCGCGGCTGTGAAGAAAAAGCCATTGCGCAGTGAAAGAGGGCGAGAAGTTTACAGACTTATGATTTGCAAACTAACAAGTTGATGGTCGGTCCCCTCCCCAAAATTGTTTGTGATGGGGGTGTGTGTAGGTTACAGTATGGAAAGCTACAGTGTTCATATCGCGAGCCCCTTTATACGAAAAACCTTTACGTTGTCTTGATCAAGTCTCAAAGTGGTTCTTATAAATCGAAAAATCGAAAATGTTTTCAGATTATTGGGTCAAAGCCTATTAAACTGGACTAAACGCTTTGACCCAGTAATCTTAGCACATTTTGGGTTAAACCTATCGCACTTATTTCAGTACAAGTGTATCGATATCCATCGCCATTCATTCCAGCAGCCAAGTCAAGTGAGTCCCTGCGCTGTCTTCTTCTCCCCTTTTCCTCCTTCTACAACAAACCAAGACAATGAGCAGTCACGAGGAAATGGATGCAGTCTCGTCCGGTGTGAGCGTCCCACCCGACACCAAATTTGATCTAACGAATCGTCTGGCGCCTTTCATGGATCTTCACTTTATGTTCCCACTTATTGACTTTCTATCCAGTAGCGAGCTGTATGACGAAGCAAATCTCATGGCGGCCAAACTAGCATTACTAAAGCCCACTAATATGGCGGATTTTGCCGTGGAGATTTATGAGACGCTGCATGGAACAGACAACGTGCCGCAGGAGTTTGAGACGCGTCGAAGTGAGATTTTGGATGCGCTGAGCTTTGCTAAGAGCGAGTGTGGCCCCATGCTGAGCCTCATTGAGGATGAGGAAAAGATCATGCAACTGCAGAGTGAGAATCTGCTTAATGCTAACCACCTCGAGCAGAACGAGGGCGTACGTGGACTCAAACACATAGATGTTATTTTGGTAGAGATGTTGTCTTAACAGACTGACTCATTGACTGTTGTTGATACCTTTTTGATGCAGATTACACCTGCTGTGCTTGATGGTCTATACAAGTACGCCAAGCTGCAATACGAGTGTGGCAATTACCAGGACTGCCTTACGTACCTCACATACTACGGGGTGCTCATCCCCAATTCATCAGAGCAATACTTGAACGCACTGTGGGGCAAGCTCGCCGCTGAGATCCTCATCTTCCGCTGGGAGGACGCACTGGCTGACATCTCCCGCATCAGCGACGTCATTGAGAGCAGCGTACGTGGCCTAATCCTCAGTACGAAATCCACTTGTTGGTGCTGACAATTTTTTTTTCTTTTTTTTTTACCGACAATAGACCATTATGAGCCCAGTTGAGCAGCTCCAGCAGCGCACGTGGCTGCTGCACTGGTCGCTATTTGTATTTGCGTGGCACGAAGAGGGTCGCGACGCAATTGTCGACTTCATGCTGCAGTCGCGCTGCGTTGAGGCCATCCAGAGCAACGCACCTTGGCTCCTGCGCTATCTCTGCGCTGGCGTTATTTTGCACAAGCGTCGCCGCAATCTCATTAAGGACCTGCTTCGTGTGCTACGCGTCGACGACAAGGGCTACTGTGACCCGATAGTGGACTTTGTTGAGTGTCTTTTCATTAACTTCGACTTCGAGTCCGCCCGGGAGAAGCTGCGCGAGTGCGAGGTCGTGCTGGCTAGCGACTTTTTCCTTTACGAGAAGAACTCGACAGATTTCATGGAGGCCGCACGCCTGGCCATCTTTGAAATGTACTGCCGTGTGCACTGCACCATTGACATGAAGGTGCTGTCGTCCAAGTTGGCAATGCAGGAGGACGGCGAGGCTGAGAAGTGGATTGTGAATCTGATCCGTAATGCTCGCCTTGACGCTAAGATCGACTCCCAAGAAGGACTTATCGTTATGGGAACGCCGCAGAACTCGGTCCATCGTCAGATTATCGACAAGACTCGAGATCTCGCGGCACGGACTTGTAGCATGGTGGCACAGTTTGAGCGCATGGGTAAGCGAAAGACCTTGCAGTGAGCGATCTTTCTGGATGCTGGACTGCTGCTTCGCTGAAGTAACAGGAAATTCGTTGCACTCGAGCACATAGTAGTTAACTTTACTTCGTTATCATCTACGACGAGGCAAAACCTCCGTACGAGCTACCAAATTGTACTTCGTATTTGGAGTAGCATTCCTGTTCATCTGCTTCTCAATGGGATTCTGACCGGCGTCTTGGTCATTAGCGCATTCAAAGGATACAGAATCAGTGGTCTGCACGGAGAAATGTTGTCGGCCAAGCATGATTTATATCTCCAGCAATTGTACGAGCATCTTACCATGCGGATCAGATCTCTTGTTTCAGGAATAAAGCGTTTTTCGTATCAATCCTTGTGCTTCAACTCATCAAATCAGCAGATTTACAAAACCGTTTCGCAAATGACATTCATATCAAATATTCTGAACGGGAAACCAAATGGTATTTACAGTGTTTCGCGTGTCATGAGAATGTACCTGAACTTGAACACGTACAGCGGTAATATGGCAAACTCAGCTTCCCGGCTAATGCACAAGCATTACGTAGCAACAATCAGTCCAGCTCTAAATCTGCAAGAGTTCATCTTTGACCATCAGCTAGGTCGCGGTAACAAAGAGTCGCAAGTGTTAATACGCCGATCAAGACGCTAGTGTACGCCAATACCATCGACGACATCGAGTACTATCTGACAAAGTTGGACGCGTTCTCGTCAAAGCATGGAAACTTGTAGACGGGTACTTCAAAGAAGCTGTCACAACTTTTTAGCACACAATGTAGACGGGCGCTTCGAAAAGAAGCTGCCACGTACTACGCGGACACACACTTTATAAGCAGTGTGAGGAAGCGATTAGACCGTCTTACCTCCGCGTGCGGTGGTGGTGGCGTTGGTCGGCGCATAAAGCGCAATACCAACTGTTACCGGCCGCTTAAAGCGATCCGCGCAACGAACTTTAGAACAAACACCTACCTGCGTCACGGAAGCTATATCCAGTCTTCTCGTGCGCAGTGTGTGACAGGGCATCTAGTTACACCTAAACATTAAAAAAAATACTTAATGTAAGGTCTTAAAGTATCCATGATTACTTTTGACTTGTCACTTGGGTGCGATACACAAAGGTGATCCACCCTCGTGAATGTGATATCCGTTGATGGATTCACATGGGAAGGGATGACGCTAGTTGAAGCTAGGCATCGCGACGTCTCAGAAGGACGTCAGTTGCAATCTTAAATCTAGATTTAAGATCATGCGACAGGATACGCTTCTAAGGAGTCGCGTATCCGATCTATATACATATATAGCCCATCAGTAGTTAAGTATATATTTAGTTATAATTCATTAAATATAACTCAGTCTTGAATTTACTAAACGTAAGCACCGCGCACGAGAAGCTGAAAAAGCTTTTGCGTGACGTCGGTGACTTCTTGTTTAGAAGTTCGTTGCACTCTCGCTTAAGCGAGAAGCAACTGGTGGTACGACTGCTTAAGCAGCCGACCAACCGCATAACCACCCTCGAACGCGAAGGTAAGACGGTCTAACCGCTTCCTCGCTTGTGCTGAAGGTGTGGGCTAAGTAGCACGAGGCAACTTCGTTGAAGTGCCCGTCTACACAGTGAGTGTGATGTAGTATTTATGACTGACTTATATATAATAGAAATTAATTAATATAACTCTAACTACTGATTGGTAAAATCTAAAGATCGGATATGCGTCTCTTTAGTAGCGTATCCTTACGTGCGATCTTAAATTATATTTAAGCTCGCTGATGACGCTGTATGAAGCGTTATCATGACGCCTAGTCCCAATTGGCGTCATCCTCGTTGAATGTGAATCCATCTATGGATATCACTTTTACGAGGGTGGGTCACATTGATGTGCATCACCCAAGTGGCAGGCCTAAGGTACCACGTACCCTTTTAGACCTAGCATCATATACTTAACGGTCTCGTGTAACCATTGGCCCGTTACACCATCCTCTTCTTTACGACAACTTTTACATTTTTGTAAAACATCGAAAGCAAGAAGATGCCAACGAAACGTGGTAAGGCTGATGGGTTGCCTGCAAAGACGCCCATGCAGACCACACTAAGCGCACGAGCCGCGATAACTCACAGCCGTCGATAAGTGTCTCTGTGAAAACGCCTACATCTAATGTCAGCTTGTCAGCAGAGAACACTAATCCATCCCGCTATGGTGCGGATGATTACCTGTCTCTCATTGTTGACTACAATAAGAGTACGCAATTTCCATCACCCCAAAGTGGTGATGAGCGCAGTGCATTGATGGGATATATGTCTCCATAACTAGAGGCACCCAATCTTCAGGAATATTCCGTGCTTCCTGACAGTGAGGGTTATGCCTCGTCGTTGCGTCAATAAGCGCAGCGACCACAACTGAGCGCACATTTTCGAACATAGCAGCCGCGGCTCAACAGCAGGTCGGCGATTTCTAGGCCAACCGCCTTTGTTAACCCCACGTCTGCAGTCTTGACAATTTATAATGGAGAGTAAGCTCAGGAGAGGGTGATCTAAAAGCTTCACCGACTTCAGAGTTGGCCTTACTAGCACGCCGTCGCGAGGGCGGCTATGTGAGTGATGGCTTGTCACCAATGTCATCCCCATCCGATCAAGTGTGAATAGTGCGACGATCCTAGAGCGTGCCACTATTGACACTAATAAACTTTTCAGCGTCTTTCCATCATGGAAAAGGCATGGTAAAGCACTAGGTCGTGCTTTTACTATCCTGATCGTGTTGCGTCCGAACGAAAAAGCTGACGAATACGAGGAAGAGTTCCTGCGCCGTCTTACATCGCATGCAGATGCAGTGAAACAGCGGTCGTAGCGAGTCCGCTTCGGCTATGACGCGTGCGAGAGATATTTTAGGCGGTAAAGTACCCCCAACTCCTTCTAGATACGCTGCCCCTTCTAGCCCATCAGGACCTAGCAGAGCGAGTGCAGCTGATGTTTCTGCTCGTGAGCAGCCATCAGCCCAGGCACGTCGACGCGCAACGCGTCTACAGATTCCCAAGAGTCGAAGCTATTCGGGTATCCCTGCCCCTGTACAAGGATCTAAAGCCTTTGCCTCATATAGCGGTGGGCCAACAACCTTTCAACAAGGAAGCGTTTGTTCGCACCCCAATCCACCAATACAGGTGGCGCCCGATAGGAGCGGCGATTACGCTTAAGTATTCGCGGCTGCGTATCCTGTTGTTGTTCAGTCGCAGGCGGATATCGCTGCGCTGAAGAGAGAGGTGCCTGATCTCTCGAGTCAAGTCTCGAGACTGACTTCGGGTCTACGCGCTGTAAATTAGAGGGTTTGCCAGGGGTACGATCGACTGAAGCTCCGTTTGAATTTACACGAGCGACTGTGATGAGAGACCCGCGTCAAGCGCGGAGTCCTCCTCGATCACCAAGTCCTCTATCGCCTCGTTCGTATAAGGAAAGTCACCTTCCCCGCCGCCTGATCGATAACGAGGCTCGAATCATAGTAGACGTCACCATCGGTCTCGTTAGACTGATGCGAATAAGTGATCTCTTGTGTATTCACATACCGTTTCAGACGACCCACGTAAAATACGGGGTGCGTCTTCATATACGGTGTTAGAGTGAGCCTACAATTTAGATCTACACCTTCTTCAACCACTGTAAAGAGACAATGAATCGGTGCAATAGCTTAGTAGTACCACCAGGTAGTACAAAAATTGCATTCTAGGTAGGGTAGCAGTACTTAATAGCACTTTGTCCCCCACACTATAGTGTTCATTGTTTTTGCGACCATGTTGGTCCGCATATTGTTTTTGCTTGTCCTGTGCGCTTACCATTGCGTCACGGAATTTACGTGTGATGGCTAATCGCTCATCCACAAAGCGCTGAGCTTTGCGCACGCTTTTAGCATCCATCTCGCCTATGACACCCCCAAGAGTTCGGTCATGGGTCGAAGCTGTTGATACCACTATAGTGTCATCGTCAAGGAGCACAGACATTTCTTGCCGTGCCTCCTCATTGACACCTAGAGGTGCCGTGACCACCGATTAACTAGCAGTGTCACTAGGGCAATTTTGACCCTCTTTGGCATTCGCACCGAGCGAAGTGAGAGGCCCTCCCCCACTAAGACTCAGGCTGAGCACAAACGAGACTGACGTCCGAGTATGGTACAGTCCGTTAGTATAAAACGGTGTTTCACCCGTACTGGCGTGAACGCTATAATTAATAGCGAATTCCACGAATTTAAATTGCTTGTTACATTCCTTAGGAGTCGCTACAGTGCGCAATACATCCGCCACGACTCGATTGGCTCGTTTCGTTTAATCATTGATCTGAAGATGATCGGCTGTTGACGTGTGGAGCTTGCTTCCCATCAACTTAAACACATGACGCCAAAACTCAGACGTAAAACGCGGATCCCGATCCGATACTATGGATTCCGGCATCCCGTGTAGTCGATACACATGATCTAGAAACAAGAGGGCAGCTTTTTCCTGAGATCTTGGTGCTACATGGTGCCAAATGCACCATCTTGCTCATTCTGTCTACAAAGACGACGAGCCCCGTCCTGCCTTATGGTCAGGCGGTAAGCCAAACATGAAGTCCAAACTGACCGACTTCCAACATTCGGTTGTAATCGGCATTGGATTCAATGGCGCACTGCTAGAAGGTGCAGGCTTAATGCACTGACACTCTTCGCAAGAACGAATATAGTTGGCCACCCACCGATATAGGTGGGGCCACCAAAATTCCTCTGACACTCGTAAGAATGTCTTTTCACGGCCCAGATGCTCACTAGATGGCGCATCATGGCACTCGTGAAGTATCATCAGCTTGAGATCTGTGTCTTGAGGGACATAGATTCTCAAGGGATCACAGGGTGACAGTTGATGCCATTACAGGCCATCACTGTAACTAAAGCGATTTAGTTTCGCTTTGAGGTGTGACGGAAGGGTAACCTTTCGTCCACCAAAATGATCCAACAGCAGGCGACAATGTTCGTCCTGACTGTAACACTCCTT